ACGTTTCTGTTTTGTACCCCTCCAGGTTTTAAGTAAGATTGTTGTTGGTGGCTAGAGAGGACATCGGCAGTTCTGACTTATCCTTATAATAGTAGGACATTCCTGGTACTGTATAACTAGTACATGTCCTGCTGGACTGCACCTAGACTTTATGCTCTGATTAGGAGTGTTACTGTTATGCTTAACTCCTACCACTTTCTGTTTCGAAGTGCACACTAGTAATATGGTTTTTAATTGTTCGTATATTTGCAATATTTATCACTTCCGCACTGTGCACATGGCTACGTCACTCTCACATGACGGCCAGCATGCCTTGACCTCGGTCGGGGTGTGTCAAATGAAGAGTGGTGGAGTGACACAACTTAAGTACCATCTTAGTGGACTAGATCCAGGAAATAATGTCCAACGATGCGATAATGTCCCCCCGGAAGTGAAGGCATTCATCACCACATTATTAAAAAATAAAAAACACCAGAAGGAAAAGAAAACACATGGAATGGAAAATATTCAAGCTGGGCTACGAGGATAAGTCATTGGCCAAGTGGTTGACAGTGATGATGATGACGATGAGGACGAATGTGATGATGACATGGGACCTGAAAAACGATGTAATTTCAAATAAGCATTACGTGCCTCCAAACAGTCAGCATGGGAAAGAGAACACCTTCATAAAATTCCTAATAGAGCACAAGGTTCCGGGACAAGTGGTGGTGCACAAATGAGATGGGGAGCAAGTGTTAGAGAATCACAACCAACACCACCAATAGCCCCAAGTTTATATAAGTCATCCAAAGCACGTCAAAAGAGTGTTTGGAGTTATTTCACGGAGGTAATGTGAAGGAGGGAATGGGGCGTCTAATTGCAAGTTATTTATCTATGAAAATGTCCCTGCTGAGAAGGCATCATCACATCATTTCAAATATATGGTATTGGGATGTCAACAGGGCGGTGTTGGAGTACAACCTCCCACTCTCTATGAGGTAAGAAACAAATATTTGGAAATGGAGTATAAAGACATTGGTGAGTATGTTAACAAGTTGAGGTCAAAGTAGGAAACTAATGGTTGCACAATCATGTGTGACGGATGGACTGGCCCGACCAGATTGTCTATCATAAACTTCATGGTATACTCCAAGGGAAAGACAATTTTTTTAAGTTCGTTGATGCTTCAAACCATATAAAGAACTACAAGTATATTTACAAATTATTGAGGGATGTAATCATGGAGGTGGGAGAGCATAATGTTGTCCAAGTCATGACCGACAACGGTTCTGTTTGTCAAAGCTAGAAAAAAGTTAATGAAGCATCATAATGTGTTTTTGACATCATGTGCAGCACATTGTATTGATCTCATATTTGAGGCAATGGGGAAGAGAGAGAATATTTCTAATGTCATAAAAAGAGCTAGAACAATCACTAATTATATTTACAATCACGGTTGGTTGTTGGCAAAGATGCATGAATTTTGCAGAGGAGAAATTATTCGTCTAGCTACCACTCGATTCGCCACCAACTATATTGCATTAGACAGCCTACTTAAGAAGAAAGCAGGGTTGAAGCAACTATTCACTAGTGACGATTGGGCCAACCACAATTTCAGCCGCTTAATTGTAGGTCGTATGGTGGAAAGTATAGTGCTTGATCATGCTTTTTAGACTTAATCAGAACATGTGTGCCAACTGTTTGAACCTCTTTACAAAGTTTTACGGATCGTTGACACATAAGTCTATCTTACAATGGGGGCAATATATGAGTTGATGCGTGTAGTGAAGGAGACTTGGAAAGAAAACATGGTGCAAGGTGGGTCATAAAGATAATTGATGATAGATGGTATAAAACATTATACCACGATTTGCATGCAGCAGGTATAAATTATGTCATAATTTGCAATTCATTTCTTTAGTTGCATAAGTATTATTTCTCTTATTAGAGTATGTGTTTCTTTGAATAGCATATTATTTGAATCCTCGATACCAATACAGACGCGGTGTTGGAGATGATGGTACCCTTGTATGTGTTGTACATAATGTATACTCAAAATTAGACCCTGCATCACCAGTAGTTGGCCAATTTGGAAATGAGGTACACAATTACTTAAATTATAATAATTACATTGTTGGTAAACTAACATGATTTATTGAATTCAGCTAACATTGTTTAAAGATGCAAGAAGAACTTTTGGAGAACCAACATCAGTTGTTGCTTGAACAAAAATGTCTCCTATTAAGTGTAAACATATTTCACTATCAGTTTATAATAAAATTTGTTGGAGTTATTAGGCTTATCAACATTGTTTTTCATTATAGCTGAATAGTGGATCATGTATGGGATTGATGCACCAACTGTGAGAAAGTTAGCAATCAAAGTATTATCACAAACAGCTTCCTCATATGCTTGTGAAAGAAATTGGAGTACATTTGCACTCATACACACAAAGCAAAGAAATAGGTTGGCTCATAGTAGGTTGGAAAAATTAGTTTATTGCCATTACAACATGAAGCTTCAAATTCGAGATAAGGAAGCAAAAATTGATCATGTCGACCGTGGTGACCCATTAGATGTGTTTGATATTGTTGTTGAAGATGATGATACAAAGGGTAACCAACTTTATCAATGGATTAGACCTCTTCATTTAGATGATGATGAAGGCAACCCAGCTCTAAGAGTTGCTGAAGAAGCACGTAATGAAGGGATAAATGTAGAAAGAGTATTAGAGAAGGAGGTGGGATCTACCAGCGCTGACTCTTTCGAAGAACTTTTTCGCCCAAGACCAAGAAACACTAGAATTCCACATTCTTCCAATCCTACACAACCATAAGATCCTGCTGATACTAATGATAGCTCTAGTACAAGATCAGAAGACTTACCTACCATCGGAGGTGGGAATGATGAAGGATATAGTGGAGCTGGAGGTAGTGGTGGATATGGAAACTATGTTGGGCCACCTCCCAGATTTATGAGCCCCTTCACTGGTGAGGCAAACTTCACGCATGCAACACAGGATGAGGACCATGGCAGTAGGCGGGCAAGACCAAGAATTGGTGCCATAGGTAATGACTATACTCGTAGAGAAAGAGGCAAGGGAACTTTGTCAAGTCAAGAAGATGACTCGTTATCTATAACTTCGAACTTTGTTGAAGTGAGAAGTAGTTACTATGGTTATACTTATAACCAACCATTTCCCTACCCTTCATATCTCATTCTTGTTGGGATGGAATCGAGTGACTCATGGAAAGAATCCAAGACTCAATCTTCAAATGATTTTGCTTATGGACAACGTTAACCAATCTCGGATCCATATGGGTGGCATGTTAACAATTACATGCAAAACTATTTTGGGGATTTATCATTTGATGACTACTCTTCACAATACACTTACTCTACACATAGAGATGATGAAGATAGTGAAAATTTTGAACCTCATAGGAACTCTATGTGGTACTAAGTCACTCATGTATCTTACCATGCAATGTATAAAGTTAAAATATTGTACTAATTCATTATATATAAATGATTATGGTGTGTTTAAACTTCTTTCATTAATTACTACATATTTTCTACACTCATAATGTTTGCCAGCTTGCTATATAATCAACTTAAATTAGTTAAATCCATCATGCAATGCATTTCCTTCCAATTTTTTTATGATAAACTAATAGATAATTGACTAAATAAACATCCTGCAAAGTTTCAATAAAAATTTCCAAGTTTTTCTTACAATTTCCGTGGTTTTTATTCAATTTTTATCGATATCGATAATATCCTGATATTTCCATCAAAATTTCCATGTTTTGGACTACCAATATTTCCGATATCAGCGATATTTTAGACCTTGGCTGATTTACATACCAGTCTCTTTCTAAAGCTCGGTTTCAATATCTTCAATCCAAGCTTTCACTCGGCCCTCCTCCGTTCAGCTTGAGGGGGTGTAAAGAGACACAATAGTTAGTTGTAATATTGTTATAAGTTTGTTACAATTGTCTATGTAACTAATACTAGTTTAGTGAGTTAACTAGGTTTAATTAGTTACTAAGCTATTTCTCAAAGTGTATATAAACCTGATTGTAATTCCTTATTCATTAAGAAATGAAATACTAGTATTATTTCACATACTCCGCACTCGCTACGTCTTATCTGCGCATCAAATTGCCGATGCCTTTACTACGGGATTGACTTGCGAACGTTTCATGCTTTAGTTCCCAAGCTCAAGCTCCACTATGTTTCGTCTCGCTTGGGGAGGGGGTGATGAGAAATATATGCCCTTGACAAAGCCATCAGCTAAGTCATCTCCTGAAATTATGCGAACTCAAGAAAGTCCACCCTCACAAGAATGTGGCTGATTTACTTTCCTTATAATTGCATGATTTGCTTTTTTTTGTAATTATTCAATTTGTTTTGATTGTGTAGATATACTTTCTGTATATGGGACTCTCTAGGTCCACTCTTGGAAATATATATGAATGAATACAATGACTGATTGAATAGTCAAGAATTCAGCAACAAAAGCTTCGTGCCACAACCATTCCAAAAACCTAAGCTGGTCCATATTTCGTGACTGCTGAATCACAATTATCCTGAGATCTGGCCTGTAAGACTTAGCTAGCGACTTCGTATTGTGTTTTTTTTAAAGTGCATTGGCCTCCACAAAAACAAGGTGGGAGTGGAATCAATAAATCCCACATCCAAACTCTCAGGTGTTGATCATGTGATCAGTTATTGATTGAGATTCGAGGTCCATAACATTTCAAGAAAAGATGACCATCCGATTCGGAGGGATGAAACAATGTTCAGTTTTTTTAGTAACTATTTTTGGATAAAATGTGTCTGTTATTGTGGACGTGTGTCGCTAAAATAGATTAAGAAACAGAGAGGAGGACAAGGTCAATGAGGGACAACAATATGAACTTCCTTAGGCCAGTTTTTTACCAAAGAATTAAAAGTGCAAACTAAAAATAGCAAAACGGAGAAATATTTGAATAAAAATAGAAGTTGGTTGGAGAAATCTTCCTCATTTGTCGGGGGAAGATTTATTTCCTCGAATTATTACCATAGCACTTGTTTTCCTCTCTGAGAATCCTCAATCCTCCCCTGTTGCAAAGCCCTTCTCCTTTGGTACAATCTCTCTCTCTCTCTCTCTCTCTCTCTCAACCCGATGCACGTAGCTAACTATGCACACCATGCAAACAACAACATACTTACGTGCATGCATGCATGATTGAATAACCTTTTTTTATATTTGATTGAATAACTTTGGACGTTCTTATTTGTTCTCTGCATGGCATGCATGCATGACCCGAACACACACTTTTTTGTATTGGATTGGTCTGTTTTTAACCCGTGACTAAGTTTTGTTTACATGTTTGACTAATGTTAGGAATAGGGGTCATCAACAGGCTCACCTAACAAAGGAGAGGGGGTTTCTCCGGCACTGACCCACGATAATCTTGGTCGGACATTCCTCCCGAAATGGGTTCCTCTGACGATCAGAATTCGTCATCAGATTCTCCACCGTCGGACTCTTCATCATCTTCGAACAACTCATCGCCTCCCTCCAACAGCAACTCGTCCAAAAATTCAAACAACAACTCAAAAGACTCGGATAATTCATCGTCTTCCAACAACTCGAAAAACTCGCCGCCTTCCAACAACAACAACAATTCCAACGACAACTCCAACAATTCCAACGACAACTCCAACAATTCCAACAACAACTCAAACGGGAACTCAAATGGCAACAAAAATGGCAATTCAAATGGCAACTCGAATGGAAACTCGAACGGCGACTCCTCGAATGGAAACTCGAACGGCGACTCCTCGAATGGAAACTCGAACGGCGACTCAAATGGAAACTCAGACTCAAACGACAACAATAACTCAAACGACAACAACTTGAACAATAACTCCAATTCCCAAAAGTCCCCTCCACAAAACTCCAACTCTCAAAAATCTCCTCCTTCTCAGAACAATGGAGGGGACAAAAACTCCAATTCCCAAAAGTCACCCCCACAAAACTCCAACTCCCAAAAATCTCCCTCTTCCCAGAACAACGGGGACAATAACTCCAACTCCCAAAAGTCCCCTCCACAAAACTCCAATTCCCAAAAATCTCCACCCAAATCATCCCAGGGGAATTGGTCACCGAAGTCGTCTGATGATTGGTCACCCCCAGCACTTGGATCATCAAGCAAGTCACATCGCTCACCATCATCAGACAATGATGGATCGCCGCCACCATCGCACTCAGGGAGCTCCACGCCTATCATAGTAGGAGTTGTAGCTGCGGCAGGGGTGTTCTTGCTTGTCATGGTTTTGTTCTTCTTGGCTTGCTCTAAGAGAAGGAAGAAGAGACAGACTTCTTCCCACCTCATGGAGAACCCTGAACCATATCGTCCAAATGGTAATTTCTTAACTCAAACTCTCCAAAGTCTTTCTTGTTCTCATAGCATTTACATAACTTTTGTTTTGCTTTATGGCTTAATTGAAATTTATACAACTTTTAAATTGATTGAATTCTAGATAACAACATGCATGGTCTCCCGGTAGCATTTTCCTAACAATATATATATATATATATATATATATATATATATATATATATAAGTGTCTGGTACTAATATTTATGTAATAATATGGGTAATGTGCATGAGCAGGAAGCGGTGAGTATTGGCAAGGTGAACCTAAAAGCTCCGAGCACGTTCTTAATATGCCTCCTTCTGGCCGCGCGCCAAATGGAGGTTGGACTATGTCATCCGGTGGAGCACCCCCCACGATGAGCAGCGAAATGAGCTCCGCCAACTTCTCCGGTCCACACGGTCCCCCTCTGCCACCTCCACACCCTAATGTGGCATTCGGGTTCAACAAGAGCACCTTCACCTATGAAGAGCTGGCGGCTGCAACCTCAGGGTTTGACCAAGCCAAGCTACTAGGCCAAGGTGGCTTTGGGTTTGTGCACAAAGGGGTGTTGCCAAATGGAAAGGAAATTGCCGTTAAGAGCCTCAAAGCGGGTAGCGGACAAGGTGACCGTGAATTTGCAGCCGAGGTTGAGATCATCAGCCGTGTTCATCATCGCCACCTTGTGTCGCTTGTTGGGTACTGCCTTGCAGGAGAAAAGAAATTGTTGGTGTATGAATATGTTGCTAATAACAACCTCGAGTTCCACCTTCGGGGTATACATTCTAGCCAACTCTATGTCGTCAATACCTTATATACTAACTATATCATGTATCGACTTTCTAGATCTCAACTGATCTGACAATACTTCATTTGTTCATGTTCAAACATAATTTGACAGGCGCGAATCGGCCTCCCTTGGAATGGACCAACAGGGTCAAAATTGCTGTGGGATCGGCTAAAGGGCTTGCTTATTTGCACGAAGACTGTAAGTAGTTCGTGAAATTACTACAACTACGTATATTCCTTTGATCCATTGTCCTCTTATACGTTAGTACTCATATCGTTTTTGGATTCTTTCAGGTCACCCGAAGATTATCCACCGTGACATTAAAGCTGCAAATATTCTGATTGACTATAGTTTCGAGGCTAAGGTATGTAACTATATGCTGTTAATTACCTTAAATTTGTGAATGAACCCTAGGAAAAGCTTATGATATTAAAGGATGACTAATATTTTTGTTTGCTAATTTATATGCATGACTTTTTCAGGTGGCAGATTTTGGACTAGCAAAGCTAAACCAGGAAAATGTCACCCATGTATCTACTCGTGTCATGGGAACATTTGGGTAAGAAACTTTTTCATCAGCTCCTTAATTTAAATTGCATGATATACATTACAAATAAACCACAGAAGATGAAGTTAGGGTGACAGAAACAAGCTGATATAAAACTGGTGATGCAGGTATTTGGCTCCTGAGTACGCATCGAGTGGCAAGCTGACCGAGAAGTCTGACGTCTTCTCTTTTGGTATTATGCTTCTGGAGCTGATCACTGGGCGCCCCCCGGTGGACTTGTCTGGGGAATGTGAGGAAGATACCTTAGTAGACTGGGTTCGAACTCCCCCTCCCTAATAAATTAATATGCAATTACACATGAATTATGTTCTCTTGCTACTGTTTCACATGTTAAGTTGTTAGACTGTCGATCTGCACTATTGATTTGGTGAATTCGTATTTTTGGAGTCGGATATTTCAATTGTTTGCAACAAATTCAATAATTGCTATGCATCATGGCATGGAGAATTTAATGATGAGAAATCAATTTTGTTGCATTGTGCATGAACAACAACAGGCAAGGCCTCTCTGCATGAAAGCAATAGATACTGGGGACTATTCTGAATTGTTGGATCCACGACTAGAGAACAATTACGACCAGGAACAGGTGGCACGCATGGTGGCGTGTGCGGCTGCGAGTGTTCGACACTCTGCAAAGAAGCGTCCGAAAATGAGCCAGGTAAAAACAATTTTGTTGCTGATCTTGTGCTTGTGTATAAAACTTTTGATACTTTTAACTCAATATTTTAAATTTACGTACGCAGGTTGTTCGTGCATTGGAAGGCGATGTCTCAATGGAAGACTTGCACGAGGGGATTAAAGGGCACTTTGGGTCGTCTGGCTCGGCTTCCACCGATAGTGATAATGATTCGTATAACGCGAAATTGAAAGGGCTTAGGAAGCCGGCGTTGATGGACAGCACAGAATATCCAAGCAGCGAGTACGGTGCTACAACCGAGTATGGCCTCAATCCCTCTGCAACCTCTAGCAGTAGTAACTCACAACATATGGATAAGAAAGGGATCAACCGGCCACACGGTCCAGTTTGAGGAAGCGATAGTAACTCAAACTTGGACCGGAACGTTGGAACCAAGAAAATGAGAACTGGCTATAACCTTTAGTGTTAATAACTATCAATTAATGGACTTTGACAAAAGAAAAACTAAGAAAAAAATGGATGATGATGGTATATTTGTATGTATCTAGTCGAAAAAGTGGCAGACTCTCTGTGTGTATGTGTGTGTGTGTGTTCTTGGTGCACCAGCGCAGCTGCTTAACGGAGATACGTCTGATTGATTTCAGGTAGGTGGAAGATGACGGTAGAAGCGTAATTGCGACGTTGCGTTAGACAAGGGCAACAATGGAGGGAGGAGTTGTGATTTCTTTTCTTCCTTCTGTTTTTTTTCTGTGTTCTTTTTTGTTCTTTTGGACAAAGGATGAACCCTAGTCTATATGTGTTTGGATTTGCGACTGTTATAAAACAAACACATGCATTTGGAAGAATGTTTGATCACTACCTGATGTGTTTGTATTTTCTAATTTTTATTATCTAATATTATTAATGTTCAAAACTTGGTGAGATTTGAGAATAGATGGATATCCAACTTGGTTTTATCACAGAAGACATCGGTATTAGTTGGAGTAGGATTAGGATATTTAAACTATTCTTTTCCCACAAATACAATCGATGTAGGGATATTTCAACACAAACAAACTGGGTGACATTCACCATGGCCTTTGACACCATGCTATGAGTGTTCGGAGTTGGAAATTGGGGGTAAATAGAATTTTTCGTAGATAAAAGGACGAGATGATCCCTTGTGTTTCGGCATTTCGCTACACATCCATCTTCCCGACCTACTTCATGCTGTTCTGGATTTAGTAATGGGTGTTGTTATTGGTGTTCAGCGAAAAATTCAGTACAATTCATTTGACAGAGGTACGAGTTTTCTTTAGCGAGGTGATTTTTAACTATAAACGCAAAAGCAAAACCAACAAGCGTTAGTGACTTAATAGGGACTGTTTCTCTGGAAGGGTCAAATGTGTGTTTTGACAACCTATGACGCTTACAAAGTGTTTTTGGGTCGTGAAAGTATTTTCTAGAAAAGCACATCTTTAGAAAGCACTTTGAATGCTTGAGAGAGGTAATCGATGCCAACGAAGGTAAAGTTGTAAGGGAAGGAAGAAGAGGAGGATAACCAGAGGAACCAACCGAACACCAATACAGTTCAGTTCTTTGTAATTCAGACAGCCTCAAAATTCAGATCTTGAACATATTTGCACAACAAAAGTAATCTTGAATCAAAAAAGAAAAATAGGATTAACTTGTAAGTCAATCCAATGATATCTTGACGTGATTCTTCCGACAAAATTATTACTAATTCAACAGACGAGCGGGCAAACGCTCAATAGACGAGCAGTCAATCCAACTTCAAATGCAGTAATGTGCAATCCTTTCTACAAAATGTTTTCATCTGTATGCAGCCGTACTTCCCGCCAGTGCTCTAATTTGAGAAAAGCGAAAAAGGCTCTTGTATCAATGAAGTCCCACAGCATCAACCAACTAGCCGCTGGCTACAATCTCATGAATCGCATCACTAACAGCTCCGTCCTCAGATCTCACAGTGAGTTTCATCGCAACCTCCTTTGATGAACTATCAATTCCAAATAACAACCGCACAAGGACCTTCACATTGCCTATGTATACACCGGACAATACACAAGTGTGTGACCTTGAGTTGCTCGCAACGGCCTCTGTGCCCTGAAACCATGTACACAATGTATGATATAAAATACACATGTCAAAGTGAAGCTTCTAATGAGCGGTCCTGAGATAATAACATGCTTTAAGCATATCAGAAACATTCAAAAATAAAAAATAGCTATCATATTTACTATCCTGATTTCAAATTTCAGAAAAAATTGATAAAGTACAAATTGTCTAACCTTCAGTCTCAGAAAAATGAGGAATGGAGGGAATTACGTGACTCGCGTTTTTCCCGAAAACCAAACTGACTGAATTGTTTTTTTAGACTAATTCGAAACAGTTAGCAACGTGTAAGGGAATGTGTTCAAAACACAATTACAAGAAAGTGAATTTGAGGTGAAAATACAGGAACAGCAATATAACTTAGTCAAAAATTTAAGTTCAAAAGTCATATGCATTGTTAACTATCCAATGCAGAACTATAGAGGTATTGTATCTGTTATGCATCTGCGTGGTTAAAAAACATGCGATGAAAAGGCCTCAGACCTTTTAACATCCGGATCAACTGATTACACAAGTATTGTACAAAGACAAATCATAGACGTTTAATCTTAAAACAAAATTACCTCACAGGGTTGCATTCCAAGGAGGCTGATGACAGCATTAACAGCTTCAGTCAAGTTCTCCCTTGGCCCCAGGCCATATTCATCTACCCGCTCAAAATCCGCGCCCATGCTTTCCCAAGCATTCTTGAAATTGAAGACTGGAACCTTCAAAATGTAATCAGCAGCGACAACCTCAAGATCTTCCAGCTGGTATTCATCTTCCACACCATCTTCCTCTGCCTCACCAGTGGTTGGATCAACCTAGTGGCACCCCCAACTCATGAGAAAAGAGATTCAGCCAAAGCTCAAATGGTCTAAGGGCTGGCTATTTAATACGTGTACAATTTATTGTTTTCCTATAGGTTTGATATTGTATATCATTGTGTATATTCATACGAAAAATCTGATTTAAAGGTGCAGGTTATTATAAGCAGAGATCAAATATAAGCTTTGAACAATATCGCTGTGGATGTGATGGTTGTAGATGTGGCAAGACTTGCACATTATGTAGAACGTGAAAAATCACATACAGCTTTGAATAGTTTTATTAGCTAAAGCAAGTTGCACTCCAAATGACTGGTGCCAAATGATCCATTAATTGTCAAGGAACTCGGTCTATGAACAGGAATAAGGGGAAGAACTTGATACCTCTTTAACAATGAACCTCAACAAGTTTGTAAATTTTCCAACTGCAGGGATGCCTTCTGGCTTCTCAAATGCCAAAAAGGTTTGTCCAGGTGTATCATACGGAAGAGACCTGAGAGACCTGGATGCCACTTCAGAAAATTCCTCAGCTTCTGAAGCATCCACCACAACAATGACCTGACAGGCAGAGTGTTAAAAGGAAATTCTGAAGCATAATTACAAAAGTACTTTTTTAGTATAAAAGGGCATTACATCTTCCAGTAATTGCTCGGGAATGGTATTGGTGCAGTTGTACTGGAACACAACATGGCTATCAAAAATGTGCTTGACAACATTAACTGCATATTCGGTTTCTGGCTCTGTTAACTCCACAGGTGCTGAGGACTGGTATGTGAAAATAGTACGCAATTAATTCCAAAGAAAAATAAAAAATTCATGAGCTGTAATGTGCATGTAAAGTACAAGAAAATATTCACGTTGCAGAACCTTGAAGAGTTTCCCAAAGTTTGAAAACTCCGGAATAGAGGAAAGCAACGTCTCATAAGCATCAACTGTGGATGCAGGGCCAGTTGGAGGAGCACCAAGACCAGTTGGCTTTTTACTCTGGGCTTTCTTCTCAGCAAGTGGCTGCGACTTAACCTCCTTGGGTACAGATTTAATGTCAAATGGTTCTTCCGAAGCCTCCTATAGTCGCATTAAAACAACCCTCAAAAGTCAAAACATGAGATAAGGACCTTAAGGGTACAAAGATAAAAGCAAATGGAGGTTACGTTACTCACATAATTCTTCAAACTTGTCTCCAGATTGACAAGTGGGACATCCAGAGACCCAAAGAGGAAGTCCTTTACATCATTGTCAGTCTCAATAACTGAACCATCTCCGCCAAGCGTATTTAGATAGAGTGTTGCCCTATCACGAACCTGAGAGTGTAGCAAAAAGAAATTCAGTATATGCTGAAGCTAAAACAAATAAATCATGAAAGCAATGACACAGAGACACAGAAACACAGAAATCGGATGCAAATTTGCAGAGCCAGACACCTCGCTCTGGGTGAATGCCCGTACATACATGGTTATATATAAGTTAATATAACCTAAATGTAAGGCCTCAAATGTACATTTGACACCTCATCATCACTGTCAAAGAGTTCAGTATACTGAAGCTAAAACAAATAAATCATGAAAGCAGTGGCACAGGAACATAAAAACTCAGATGCAGATTTGCACAGAACCAGACACCTAGTTTTAGGTGAACGCTCATACATACATGTTATACATATCCTAAATGTAAGGCCTTGAATGTACATATAGGATACCTCATCATCACTGTCAAAGAGACATCTTCGCAGCAGAATAAACACTCGTGGCTGAAGCATAGAAGAAAACAAGTATAGTTCATTGTCATCAGTAACCATAGACAGAAACAAATCTTCTTTGTATAGAGGGGGATGGGGATCAGATAAGATATCATTCATTGAACAAGATGTTACCTTCAATGAATCGACCAAAGCACCAAATTTTGCCAATGTACTAACCGCACTGGCACGAACAGTGGCATTCTCAAGATGTACTCGATTATAAATGTACCGTATATATTTGCTTGGATCAGATGTTTTTGGCCCTTCAATACCCAAAAAGTGGAGTATCTAATAATAAAACATCTCAATCAGCCAAAAGAACATTAAGAGGAATAGATTGTTCACCAAGATTATGATAGAGAAAATCCCACCTGTGTAGAAAGATAGGTGAATTCACAATCTTCGATGAACTCACAGAGATGAAGCAAGCCACTTTCTTTTGCATCAGGAATATCTCTTATGAGAATCACAATTGAATCAACAATTGCCTTTTTGTACTCAAATCCACCTTCTTCTCTGAGAATGTTGCTCAAAAAGTTCATCCTGTAGAAAACGAGATGCAGGGATCATTTTTGAAAACAATAGAGACAAATAAGAATATGTGCACTGAAAGATGAACAATATGAAATCAAACATTCTCAAACAAAACTTTGAGTATGTGGTAGATCACTCACAAAGCTCTGAACTTCAATGGAAATTTCAAACACAACGATCTTATGGCTTCCACAACAACAATTTTGAACTCATCAGCAATATCTGACATGAAATTAGTTATCTGCTTCATCAATCGATCCACACTTGATTCATTTCCTGTCTTCAGAAGTGTTGTGATAGCAAGTGTGGCAATGCTTCTGTTCTGGTCAGAAATCAAACTCTCCATATCAATGTTGCAGTTTGTGACAGGCACTGGATGTGTCATTGCCACCTGGAAAAAAGATCAAAGTGATTATCAGGAATATCATTCACCGGGAAATAAAAAATGACCACAATCAACATAATTAAGTCTAACAAGCTTTGTTTCACATGCAGAATAAATAAACAGAACTAAAATCTACATAGTATCAGTAACGGTAGTGCTATCTTCACACCCATTTTTACTTCTCACACACCTCTCTCAATTTTCAGCCGTCGGATCGAATGAATTGAAGAAGATCAATGGCCAAAAATCAACAAGGGTGTGTGGGAAGTATACGGGTGTGTGAATAGCACTAACCTATCAGTAATTGCCTCATAGATTACACTCAAACTCATTTCATATAGGATCTCTTGATTCTCTCATTTATCTCAAAACTACAAAAGTAAAACTCAGGACGGCAGGTCACTTTAATTATCATAAATTTCCAAACACATTGTGTAGTAGAGTAAAAGGAGAAGAAAGATGCCTTATTCAAGGTGCGGACAGCAGCAAATCTTAAAACTGGTTTGGAAGAACTTAGAAATAGCTGCAGAACAGTGATTGCTGGAGTAAGTTCTCTGGGGGTCACACCATGGAGCTCTGTAATTGCTCTAGCAGCCTCAAAAATCACCATCTCTACTTTGTGGCGAAGACAACCCTCAAGATAATCGTAAAAGGGACGGTCCCCTGTTTGTACATTTCCAGACTCGCGGATAACCTTTAGGCAAACAATTGATTAAAATAGAGCATGAAAACAACGCAGCTAAAATAAAAGGTCCAGAAGAATAAGCACCTGACTAGTATAACGAATCAACAGGCACTGGGCCAATGGAGAGCGGACAGTCCCCCTTGTCAAGCTGGTAACCAACTTGCTAACAGCAAGACGGTCATTCTGTCGTATCTACAATTTTCAAAAGTAAAAGATTCTCAACACCTTTCAATTGTACAAATGATATTTACAATTATTCTAACAAAAGTTATTGGGCAGATGCAGAATCTTTCTTTATATTCCACTTTAAAACTTGAAAGAAGAAGGTAAACCTACATGAATTACATTATATGGAATGAATGCTAAACCATGTCTGTAAAAACAACAAATCACTGTACACCTAGCCTGCTTGCTACACTTGCTCACATCAACCAAAAATGTGTACAAATGCAAGTAATTAGTTAAGTAATGATATGGTAAATAGTCAAGTAATGGACTTCGACTAAAAACTTGCTCTATCTTTCGGGAAAGAAAAAATCCTGAATGTAAAGTCTGTAAACCAAACCAACAATGGCACATACCTGATGAAGTAAAGCCAGTGCATGGAATTGTACAAGGGCTGCTCTTGACTGGACAGATTCCTGAACCTCATTACTCCACCTTTTGACAATCTCTGGGTTAGTCTGTCAAAAGAGAAACATTAGGGTACACAGCCAACAAATAAATAAATCCTTAGGTATAGCAGAAACAGTACCTGGAGAAGATGGATCCCACTGACCAGAGCTGCACTCGCAACCACTGGATTCTTATCAACGATGGCTTGTTTCAAATACCGCTCAATCTGGGTAAGAAGGGTTCCATCCGTAATCCGACAGAGCACACGGATGGCATTTGCCCGATACATGTCAGTTTTACTATTCATATCCTTCATCAGGGAGCTTGTCACAATAATAACCTTGTTATGGGAAATATATCAGAAGTCAGTCCCAATTAGTGTGCATGCAAATTTATTAAGGAAATCAAATGATAGAAAGTCAAGTCACCTCATCTGCAGAGGGGGACAATTCTTTTATGATCAGGTAAACCATTCTCCTCAATCCTATATCTCTTGATTGGAAAAGCTTAGTCACAGAAAAGAAAACTTCTGTAGCTTCAACCTATTAATTCAATGCAAAATAACATGAATCAATTGACGGCCAAGTACAAAATAAAAAAATGTTGCAAGTAGATTAATAAAATTGACGCAAAAGATATTGGTTCTGCTCAAGGGAGAAACAGAACTATTCAGCACAGAAGGAACCTGACCTTTGTAAAGCTTTCCCCTTGGTTCAGTAGGTACAAAAGTTTTGTGATAACCTGAAATTTGACGAAAATGCCAAATGCACAAAATCAATTTCAGCCGAGCAAATAAGAAGACAGATAAGATAATCCAGTGGTGCAAAGCAATAACCTGGGAGCATCTTCTAGCATCGAGTTGAGGATCATTGAAAACTCTCGCTTCCTGAAGAACAGCACCCTTCTCAATCCCCAGAAACGGCGAGTACTCTGCTGAAAATCAACATCATAGCAATTACTACAAAATTCACACCATTACTCTCCTAAAATCAACATCATAATACAAAAATCACATCCTTAACATTTCTAATACCGCAAAAACCCGAACCGAATTTAACTGGCACTAAATCAAGACAAACCGAGTAGATTTGCCACAAGCTAACTAACCGCATTGCGTCATAACCGCAACGAAACTTAGATATTATCGAGATCAGAGTAAATTGAAGCAGATCAACGATAGTTAAACCGTAATTCACTCAAATCCGATTCAAATGCCTCACAATACGCAAACCGCAGAAGCAAAACCGCAATATACAAAGAGATCTGGGAATACGAATCGCCGATTCATGAGTTGCAACGCAGAGAACCGAAAATAGAACAAAAATTGCGAGAGAAAACCAGATCGAATTCGAGAGCGAGAACAATTGACAAGTCTGTGAGTGAGAGGGGGACGTACCTTCATCGTCACGATCGTCGTCCTTCTTCACGAGAGGCTGAGCCATCGCAGAACGAAGTGAATCACTGAGATCTGCAGAAACTGTACGAAGAAAACCTCTCTCTCTCTCTCTCTGTTGCTCGCTGGTAGCTCGGCTAGTGAGGTTTTCTGAAGGAGGAGAATCACAAGAGAAAAATGAGGTTTTCTTTCAAAAACGAAAGTACCGCACAGAGGGCTTCAGATGGTGAACGAAGATGTTGTGTTCGGGTGCGGCCGAGGATCTGGTGGTGAAGATGTTGTCTGAACAATGGTAGCGCGCCACGTCATAAATAAAAATAGTTACTCTCTCCAAAAAACAATGAAAAACAAGCAAGTGGCTTGTAGCTCTCCACCACAGTGGCAAGAGGAGTGTTATTCTTGCATCAAAGCGTGGTTTCGAACCCGTCTAATCCTTAATCTAATATCTATTATAACAAATATGTTGTTTAGTCACTTAGTATTACGGTCTAGTGATATTTCTCTTCACTTATAAATGAGAGTTCTTATGTTCGATTCTCGTCAAAGATGAATTTGAACCATATCATTATTAGTCTATTGTGAAGTTTAGCTAAATCCTTCATCTCAAAAAACAAAACAAATGTGTCGTTTGACCAAAAAAAAAATGTTTTTTTCCCCCAAAGAATATGAAAATATGTTGCTCTTCACCCTTTGGTGGTAGTTACTTTCTCTTACCCTCTTTTCTTTTCCTAAATTTTTCAGATCTTGAAATTTAAACTTATGTATAAATTTAGATTTGTCTTCTTTTTTTATTTCATTTTCAATTTATTTGGTAGGGGTAGCACCCACATTTCATTCACTATTGAAAATGTCATGTATTAATATGATGGACGGTGACTTTCTCATGAACATAACTCGACTTTTGTTATGAGAAAATATAATTCGATTACAATTTACGACCTGTTTAATAATTATTTTGGATTTTTTCTTTCTTTAATTTCTTTACGATAAAAAAAATAAAGCGAAAATGAGAGAAAGAGAAGAGAGACGAGGCAAGGGAGGGAACTGAAGAGGGAGAAAATGTAGGTGAATGTTGGGGTGTGTCTTGAGAGTTTGTTTTTTAAACTCCAAATAGTTGTTTTATGATGATATAGCAATTTCAAAATTTTATGTCAAACGTTGTCATAAACGTTTTTACTCATCAAACCGCTTGACAATTTGATTATGCTACAATATGTGCCCAAGGGTGTAAATGTCATATTTACATCTAAAAGTTACGTTTCTTTCGCTGCCAGAAAATACAAAAGTGGATTTCCCAAAGCATTCGCTTTGCGAAAAAAATTCAAGACAACAAATATATTTCTCGTGAGTAAACATGTCAATCTCTTAGTTTTTAAAACAACAGATAGCAAAAGCCCCAAACCAAGAAGAAGCGAATTGAAAAAATGCACGGGACAAAGAGAGTAGGAAAAAACACCATACATGGATGAGAGATGAGTCATTTACAAGTTTACAACATTCTTATGGAAGGTACATGGAGATGGTAGCTACAGATGAAATATATTCAGGCCGAAAGCACATGGGACGGTCTCTCAAGCCGGAGTTTTCGTCAAATGTACATCTTTTTCTTTCTCCCAATATTAAAATTGTCAGTTTTTCCAATGTGGGGTTACAACTTACAACAAGCAGCAACATATTACAGGACATTCTAGTTTCTCAAACCCAGTATCTTCATCAACGGATATTGAGAGCCACGGGCCTGCGAAAAAGACGAAATTCAGGATACAGAAGATGGAGATATCTGCCTCCGTAACTGGCTCAAATTATTTTCCTATGCCCTCCGAAGGCCCATATCTGCGATAAACACAAAGCAAAGTCATATTTCATGAACTTCAAACAACCAATATGGTTCTTTTTTAATGAACGATGCACATAGATTGATTACAACAACAACAACACCAAAGCCTTTTCCCACTAAGTGGGATTGATTGAGAATACAAAAAAGAAAACCAGCACAACTCCATGAATATCAGATTCAGAGCTATAGGATAACTAGAACAATGATAGCTATCTCCCGTTGTAGACCAAAAGCATCACTTCCTAGGTACATCCTGCATACAAATACAAGGGTACTGACATGTGACCAAGATTTAGTCCCACTGGTGCCAGTGTCCAATAAATGCTTGCCAGGTGTTCAAAAAGTGCACTAACCGTCCAATTGACTACTGACACATGGTGAATTGGTGATATGAACACAAGAAGGGTACTGACTTGCAACAGAAACGCCAAATTTACACTCTCATTTTTTATTTATATTTCCTCTACTTTTATTTGCATTCTGATTGCAGAAAGAAACGCATTAAGAGATAAAAATTAACAATTATCAGTAAAGATGATGATTCCCATGCACGTTCCATGCAGCATGGCCTAAGTGAAATAACGGATACAGGGCTAAGGAAAATAACCTTTAAATTTGTATCCCAACTTCCTGTACACAAGGCACTACCATCAGCTGACAAACCCAAACAGCTAATCTGTGCCTCGTGTGAGTTTTGGAGGGATCCCAGGTTCAAAACCACCTGCCACAAAATGAAAGAGCAATTAGAGCCAATTTCATCCATTTAAAGCACTGCCATAAAAATCCATACGCACAAGCCAATATTATAAAATGATGCAACAAAAAAAATAAAATAAAAAAGCAGGATTTACAGGACTAGTTTATAACCACGCATTCTGAAAGTATTACGATTGTATTTAGGAAACCTTTGCAGCATGATATCTCATTTGGCAGGATTAATTTATGACACACACAACATTTTACATTTTTGTTTATAAAAATATTCTAAATATGACATTTCATATGACACAGCATGGACAACCATAACCGTCCAACTTGGAATCCAACCACTACTCTTTTACCTTTTCCTCCATCCTAGGTGGTTTACTAAACTTTCTCAAATTGCATGCAAGTCTATAGGCGTTATTTTGACATGATGATTGATCACAGTATAGGCAGGGCACGTGGCAATAAACCTTACCGAGAAAACTTGACAATCCAAGATGCATTTTCTTGTTTTAAGAATAACTATCACAAATGATATTGTTAACTGTATTTTCAACCAAGTGAGACTTATTTTAAGATTATCTTAAGTGCAAGAAACTAAGAGAAACACAATCAAGGGAGAAATAAGATCTAAGCTACAAAATTTCAAGTTATCAACTACTAAACGGAACTAGTTGAGTAGGATGACTTCACACTGTGAACAAAAGATTCTGCTGTGTTTAGCATAACAGAAAAATGCAATCAGACATAGGTAACCTAGCGTAGCTCCAAATTTACATACTTTTATGACCGGAATTCATACAATGCACAAGTAATTTATGGGAAATAGAAATTCACTTAAATAACTCTGGTCTATCTTAATTACAATAAAACATGTAACTTTATAATTCAAATGTATGTGAATGTGAAGTACACCCATGCAAGAAGTTGACAATAAACATGCTGAGTAAAATGCTGATAGACCAAAACTTGAATCTAAAGTACAAGGCAATTTATTAGAAAAAGCGTGGTCAGCTGATGATGCAAAAGCATATTGGTATTCGGTGAAGAGGTAGACTGTGGTCAATTAAATTGGCTTTACCTTTGCCAACAAAGTATCCCATACATAGCAATCCCCATTTGTGTATCCAGCAAAGAGAAGCCTTCCTGATATTGAGAATGCAATGGTTTTCACAGGTGGGATATCATTATCACCATGTGGCTGATGGTATACTTGGAGCTGGTGCCCGGTTCTAATGTCAAACAATCTGCAAGTTCCATCATCTGAGCCAGTTCCAAATCTATTTCCATCTGGAAAGAACTTTACCACATTAACATCCCCCTCATGACCATGAAACGTCCGCACTGCTCGACTTGCAACACGAGTATCCCACAATCGGGCAGTTGTATCACAAGAACCAGACACAAACAATCTCGAGTTGCTTTGATTGATGGACACACTGAAAGAATGCAAAACAGTTTACTTAGAATTCCATGACCAATAATATCCTTTCACAAACACTAATGTTTGTGTGACATTTAAAGTGCTCATGATGGAAAAGCTAAAGGTAAAGGAGGCTGTACAGATTAGGAAAGATTCTTTTAAACTCAAATACAGAACAGAAATTCTTGTCTCGGGATTAACCAATAAGACGTCACTTTCCAGGACAAAGTTATCAATGTAGACGCATTTCTAACAGCATTGAATAAATTAGAGCAAACAATTCCATTACATTGTAAATTCACAGACATGAAAATGGGCAGAAACTTTAACTGCTAAATCAAAGGATTCCAGAGCAGACAAATTAAAAGAACAAATTTCATGCATTATATTTACAGTGGTATCAAGTAAGTTCAATCACTACTGTTCAGCTAAATATAAAATCATGTACCAACTTTTAAAGCCTTTTCTTGTCTTTCTTTTTGCTTCATGTAAGGCTAAAAATTTAAATATGAGGTGCTTATTGAACACGGCCACCTAGAAGAACCAGATGCAGTAAATGTTATACATATAGCCATTTAAAAACCACCCGATATACCTCAGTACATCTGCAGTGTGTCCAGACTGAAATTCACCTCCAAAAACTGAAGTCCTGAGTCCAGTAGTAATATCCCATAAAACACACGTTTGATCTCCAGATCCACTAATCAGGTGAGTGTCCTCATCTGGAACGTATTGACAGGAGGAAACATAACCCTTATGCCCACTAAGTGTTCTTGATACAGGTAGATTCCCATCCTTGTCACACAGGGAATTCAAGTTGAAAATAGAGCAAACACTATCAAGACCACCGCAAGCAACAGATTGACCAGTCGGTGAGAAAGCACAAGTCATGACCCATGCACAAGGTAGTTTTATGGCATGAGTCTTCTGGCTTGTTAGTGCATTCCACACTATTAAACGCCCGTCTTGAGATGCACTGACAATTCGATTCTTTTCAGAGGTCCAATCTAACGAATACACCTGCAGCAGTCATGGTGAGCATAAATCTTATTGAACCTTATCCTATCCGAACTGGCATCACAAATACAGTAACTAGACATGAATTTTAATTATTTGTATGGCTGAAGAGTAACACAAATGTTGTTCTATAACTTTTAATTAATCTAGTACCTCTATAATTTTGCATAGTTTTGTATATCCACTTTATTATTACAAACTTCAAAACCAATATGCTTTTTCTCCACTCATTTTCCATTGCACCTTCAATCAGAATTAATGAAATAACTTAGTTAGCTACTCACCTCCCACAAACTCTATAGCAATTTTATCAGCAGGTAGTTGCTCTATTACACCTGAAAGTTTCTTAACTGGCCAATTTATCATTCTACACCCACAATCTCAAAACAAAATGAAAGACGCCATGTCCGGACCCAAACCCACCCGAAAATGACTTCTTTGCAAAGAAACTATTCTTTTAGTTACTTTTTTGGGACTATGGGTGTAGGAGGATACAAATGTTCAGTTAAGAAAGAGAACTACCTTTTTGGTGTCAATAGAGCTACCCTTTATAAGTGTTGAATCTAGTTCTTCCCAATTACTATAGGTCAATCTCCTAGTATTGATTGGGCTTGTTACTTAAAATGCCACTGCCTATTAATAATACTTTTGACCACTGTCTTGAGTACATTTAACTTATTCCAATTATTCAACTTTCTCTATATCCCTAATCAACCTGTCCCTTTTTGTTTTACTAGTTTGTTTGTAGAGGTCTTTTCACCTCTTTTATACCTAACTTTCTCCGTATCCCTAGTAGTGCATTCGTGCACTTTTTTGTTTGGTATGATTTCACTCTCAAAAATTACTCAAACACTCTCCCAACTAGTCAAACCCCACAATTGCATTTTCACATATTCAAAGCTATAAAAAGAAATTAGCTTTGTAATCCGAATAGCACGCTTCAAACAACCAACGCCCAACAAGTCCATTAACCCATATGAATGAACAATCGAATGAACCGAAAGAAGCTCGCTTTTACAAACAAAACGCACCACAGACCACACACGCACTAAAAAACATATAATTACATGTGGGTAATCATACCTTTCCTGTATGACCTTGCAAGGTTCTGCAGCATACGAGATCGGTGGGGCCAAATGTGACCGGAGTCTTCCCCTGTGACCTTGCATACTCAGCCACTGCAACAATTCCACCACCACAACCAATTAGATCTAAAAACCCCAAAAATTACAATCCAGTACAAAATTATTCAATAGTAATTTAACAAACCAGCAAACCCACCACCGCCATACCATCTGTGTCCAGCAAGGAAGCGCGCTTCTGCTTCAGCCGCTCTCTGAGCGAGTTGACGGTGTCGCTGGCCGCCACGTGGCGCTCTTTGAGCTCCGCGACTGACATTGCTCGGAATTCGAGCTCAGGATTCGGTCATGGAGCGGAAGTCGAAAGAGGCCTCCGATTCAAAGCGAAATTAGGGTTTCCATTTCTGCTACTGGGATTTCAATTGGAAGCTCGAACTCACGAGGAAGTACGGTGAAAGGTGAAAAGGAGAAGAGGGTCGTTGGTTTGTGGTCTCGTCTCTGAACGAGTCTCTGAGATTTTGTCAGAGAGAGAGAGCTGTGACCTGTGAAGACGTTGTGGGACTTTACGTTGGAGTCGTGAGGGCACAGGTGTAATTTACACTGGCGGCTACGGGTCCCACGAGTCCACTTGTCAATTTTTAATTGGAATGTGCTGGCTATGGGGGCAACTATCTTCAACAAAGCCAAGGCTACCACGTCGTTGTATAACACTAAAAAGAGCCCAAAGTCCATGCTGGCTGTGGCTGCCAAGGGATGTACGGACGTTTGCCCAAAAAAGTTCACGCTAAGAGCAACTCCACCCATGGAGCCTTTCCCCTGATAATCTACTATTGAATCCACCATTTTGAATAGTAATTTCCTTTAATGAATAGTAACTATCATTAATGAACAGTAATTGCCATTTGCATTTTCATCCTTGGAGCTCTCCCCCCTGACAATAGGCAATAAAATATTAGTTTTTTTTGTTTGTTTAAATAATACAAAATAAAATTATTTGTAATTTCGGATAAGATTTTTTAAATCGTTCTCGTTGCGTCACGTGTCATTTTATAAAAAAAAAACAATTATTTAGCGATTGATTTCGATAAGATTTTTATCCAATGTCATCGTGTTATGTGTCGTTATCTTTTGAGAATCTTTGACGATAGATTTTGATCAGATTTTAACTCATTCAAAATTCCGCCACTGTCATTATCCGAAAAGATAATTATTGGAGATCGATTTCGATAAGATTTTTATCCAATACGATCGTGCCACGTGTCATTATCTTTTCAGAATCTTTGAGGATAGATTTCGATCAGATTTTTAACGAATGACGGCATGCCACGTGGCCTTATCTACAATCCAATCCTTTCTTAATTGTCCATATAATCCACCATCTATCCTCACAAATCTCACACCAATTTTCTCAACATATTTATCATTATTCATAGTTTCTGTTTCTTCTTCACCATCCATCATTACAATGTCTTCTTCTTCATCAAGGATGATGTGGGAAATCGATCAGCAAGAGGAAGAATTGTTTAACCAATCTGAAGGAATGTTCAACCTTCAGATTGCCGAAAATGAGATGGAAGAGGATGAGAAGCGTAGAAGGAGAGATGACGAAACAAGAATGGCCAGAGCCTCACATTCCCGTCGAGTCATCCAGACTGTTACTCAGATATGCAGGCCCAACCGTTCAAGCAACCTTGATAGAAGCAGGCAACGACGGGGTGAAGAGCTGTTGGACGATTACTTTGTCCATAACAGTGCATTTCTTGATACGTACTTCAGACGTCATTTTAGAATGGAACGACATTTGTTCAACAGAATCATGACTGATTTTTGCAACCATGATTCTTACTTTGTGCAAAAGACGGATGCTTGTGGTGTTATGGGTCTCCTGCCTGAGCAAAAAATCACTGCTGCGTTGCGGATGCTTGCGTATGGAGCATCTGCAGACCAAGTGGATGAGATAACGAGGATGGGGAAATCAACCATTCTTGAGGCCCTGATGAGGTTTTGCGGAGCAGTCGAATCTTTGTACACCGCAGAGTACCTCCGAAAACCTACTCGCAGGGACTTGCAAAGGCTTCTGAAGAAGGGCGAGATGCGAGGTTTTCCTGGGATGATAGGAAGCATCGATTGTATGCACTGGACGTGGAAAAACTGTCCAAGTTCATGACAAGGCGCATATGGGGATAGAAAATGATCAAAATCTATCATTTTGGAGGTAGTGGCATCTTTTGATACATGGATATGGCACGCCTTTTTCGGGGTTCCTGGGGCTCAAAATGATCTCAACGTCCTTGCCCAATCCCCAGTGTTCAACGACGTCCTGCAAGGAAAGGCACCAAAAGTCACATACGTCGTCAACGGACGTAGGTACGACGGGGCATACTACTTAGCTGATGGCATTTACCCACGGTGGGAAACATTTATCAAAACAGTGCCACGTCCGTGAAGTGCAAAGGAAAAACACTTTGCAAGCTGTCAAGAGGGGTGCAGGAAGGATGTGGAGCGTTGTTTTGGTATCCTTCAAGCTCGTTGGGCGATCGTCAGGGGTGCTGCCAGAATGTTCGATGTAGAGTCACTTCGATCCATCATGATGACGTGCGTCATTCTTCACAACATGATTGTGGAAGATGAGTTTGATTATGATGCGGTTGATGAATATGAGCCAGAGCCAGACACGATGAACAATTCAAGAACACGGATATATTGTGCACATGATGCCACCGAAGAACCCGTGCAATACGAGCCATTAGAAAGGGATGGACGTTACAATGAAAGGGTCATTCAACGATATACTGCACTTCAAAGGTCATCTATGCATAATGATCGGCAAATTGACTTGATCGAGCACCAGTGGGCATTGAAACAAGTTGAAGATACTTAAGTTTATTTAGTATGTTTGTTTGTATTTGGTGTGTTTATGTAATTTTATTTGGTGTGTTTTTTGTAGTGAGTTTGTTTGTATTTCGTATGTTTATGTAATTTTATTTGGTGTGAATTATTTGGTGTGTTTATGTAATTCCAATTGGTGAGTTTTTTAGTTTTATTTGGTGTGTTTTATAATTTCATTATACGTGAACAATTTGATGAATAAAACTTCTATTATTAGGATAAATATATTACGAAATTAAATACATGTACTCTCACTTTAAATAAAGTACTAACTTCAATAAAATGGAAACAACATAAATAATAAATTACAACCCAAAGTGATTGGAAAACTATGGGGTCCGATTACAAAAGTACCCTATTCCTCACCACTTAACCAATCTGTGGTGCTAGGATCATCTTGTCTTGTTGTGCTAGGACCATCTTGTCTTGATCTCACTTCTCTTGCACGCCTCCTTTGCACCACATCCGCTTTCTCCAACTGCCAAAAATATTTAGAATTTGGAGACATCCCTTCTAAACGCGTGTTCATAATGTCACGATCTCGTTGTGCAATTCTTTCTTCTCTAAGCAACTCCCTTTCTTGCCTAAGTAGCTCTCTTTCCCTCTGTTCAGCTTGAAATGCTTGTTGAATAGCTGCAGCTTTTACCTCATCTCTAGCCTTGTCAGCTTCATATTTCGCCAATTCCCGCGCCAACGTCAATTCACCTTGACGAGCAAGTTCTTGCATGTACTTTCCATGATCATTCTTGGAAGCACCCCCTTTCCTCTTTGAAGCCTTCTTACCTAGAGGCCTAATTGGATAACGGGTCAACCCCGACGCTTGTTCAGGAATGGGCGTTTCAGGCATTTCTTCTCCATCTTCTTCATCAACATGGGAGCCATGATCGGGTGTAGAGTGTGGATGGGTGCTGTGTACAAAGGTGTTGTGCAGAGGGATGCTGTTCATGCATACTTCTGGACCAACAGGCACAACTTTGAATTTAGGACAATCTTTAACAATATTCCAACATTCCCACCTGGTGAATGATTTGTTTCTTGATTTGATTTTGGCACCATACCATGCTTGTGCTTGAAGTTGTTACAAATAATAATATTGAGACTATTAGGTAACAAATAAATAATAATAATAATGAAATTAGGTAACAAATAAATAATACAAATAAATAATAATAATGAAATTATTAGGTAACAAATAAATAATACAAACAAATAATAATAATGAAATTAGGTCACAAATAAATAATACAAATAAATAATAATAATGAAATTATTAGGTAACAAATAATAATACAAACAAATAATAATAATGAAATTAGGTCACAAATAAATAATGCAAACAAATAATAATAATAATGAAATTAGGTAACAAATAAATAATACAAACAAATAATCTTACCTCATCCGCATAATTTGCCCCACTTCGAACATTACTACTAGCTTGTGTCAAGGCATCTCTCCACGTACTAAAGGAATGGCAAAGTATTTTCCAACGACTAGACATCGATTCTTTGGTTCTTTTCCCACTTATTTGCTCAAGAAATTTGGTATGAATTAAACTCCACATTTCTCGCAACTGCATCTCATTACCCGTAAGGGAATTATGAGTAACTTCAACCCAGCTAGTGCACAACACAACATCTTCAAGAAGCGACCAATTCGTACCTGCATCAGTAGTCATTTTGTGGAAAAAAAAATTGGATTGAAACTTTGAGAGAAAGATAAGAATTTGATTGAAAGTGGTTGAGAAAATATGAAATTGTTGTGTAAGGTAGATGGAGAAGAAGTGGTATTTATAGAAAAGTAAAAACAATTTTTTACAATTTTTTTTTCAGATTTTTTACATTTTTTTCGGATTTTTTCCATTTTTTTAATTTTTTTTTCAAATAATTAATTTCTGCCGTTGGATTTAAAAAAATTTGAATTCCAACACTCCAGATTGTGCCACGTGTCACAACGGTAACTTTTCTTAATTTTAAAACTATTTTTTCTTTATTTATAAAGCATATTAATATCGACCGTTGATCTCAGATCGAACGGTTGATATTAAATAAGATTTTTTTTATTTTTTTTACCGTTGAGATCCAACGGTCCAAATGAAGGAGCCGTTGAGATCGAACGGACCGTGGGAAGCCACGTGGCTTCCCAACGGTAACTGTGACATTCTGAAAAGTCGTCTGCTTTTCTGAAAAGTTGTCGGGCGACGCGCCCCCACGTGCGAGTGGGGTGCATTCGCCTGACAGAAAAAAATAAAAAATGGGCTTGGAGCTCGTGCTCCGGGGCTGTCACAAATTGACAGGCCCCCTGCTCGGGCCTTCTCCACGAGCTCGGGCTCTTCATGGCTGGAGCAACTTGACAGGCCCTCAGGCCTTTTCTTCTCCCCTGTCCCCCGGCCTATTTACAAGGTTGGAACTGTTCTTAGTGTGGCTACCAAGGGATGTACTGACGTTTTGGGTACTGCTTGAAAAACATTTACACAAATAATCGATCAGCAAAGCCCACAAAGATCATCATTCTCGCCCCAAAGACGTGTTAGAAACGTGCATTTAACCTACGTGTTGTGGCTCCTCACTCGCTCATGAGAAAGACAGAGTGTCAAACTCATGTGGAAAGCCCGGAATAGAGGTAGAAGGTAGCCTGGCAAATCCTAAGAGCAGTTCCACCAGGAGGTGGTTAGGCCGGCACTCAGCCAAAAAACAAGGCTAGCACTCAGCCAATCCTTTCCAGCCCGTGTTCTTGCCTAGCACCCAGCCCAAGCTGGTCTCCAGGCCAGTCCAAAATCGACAGAGGAATGGACTGGCCCGTATGACGCCAACATTACATCAGCCATTTTTTTTTTCCTTCCTTTTTTCCGCGCCAGGTCGGGTCAAGGGGGAAGACCCTCCTCTCTTTCTTCTCCACCAAACGACTCCCCACGGGGCAAGACGACGCCAACCCTATCGTCGTCGACGACAAGCTCTGGAGCAGAGCTCTGCACCCAAGCTGTGACGAAAGCTGTGCAGAAAAAGTGAGTAAATACTACTAAAACGACTGCTTTTTATGCGTTTTGGGAAAATGGGTCAGGTCTGATTCGATTGTTTGTTTGTCCAGATTGAAAAAGATTGAATCTTTTTTGTTTTGCAGGAGTTGGGTGTGAGCTTGTTGATGACAGCAGAGGAGGAGGGGAAGAGTTGGAAGATGGGAGGGAAGTGCAAGGGTGCAGGGGTGTACAGCGGTGAAGTTGAGAAAGGAACTGCAGAGGTGCAGCGATGAAATTGAAAAACATTTTAATATTTTTTTTTATAAAGTCAGAAATTAAAAATAAAATCATTATTTTTTATTATTTTATAATAAAAAATTATAATATTTTAATAAAATGGACTAGGCTATTTTTTGTTAGGGGTGGAGATGCTTTGGTCTATTACTATACACTGGAGTCTATTACTGTTCACTTGAGTGGATAAATGCGCTAGGTGCTGGCACAAAGTCTTTAGGGGTGGACTTGCTCTAATACGACACGACACGAAATTAACAGATATTCGGATCGATACGATAACGAATCGGGTCATTATCGGGTAACCCAATAAGCACCTGTTAAGATGAATGGTTGGTTCTGATATACACATGGGTAACACGATACACGATAAGAAAAATATTAATTTTATAACCCTAAAAAACTATAATAATTATATATATTAATTTAACAATTTTATACCCCTAAAAACTATAATAATTATATATATATATATATATATATGTATATATTAAATTAGATATTAAAAATTGGTGACCATTGGATCGGCTTAAATATGCATATCATTCAATTTCTTAAGTGTTATACGTACAAAATAAATAAATTTAAATATACTTAATAAATATATAAATATATATATATATACACACCATTGAACTTGATGGGATACGAATTCTACGAAACTAATTTCAACGATACAACCATCAAACTTGTTTGTATATACTTCGAGATCGCATACGCCAAAAATTGTAAAAAACAAACATTCAGAGATAACGGAATAAAACTTTTCGAATCTTATCAACGAAAAATCACGATTTAACGGCTATTTTAACTCCAATTTTGATGATTTTTTATAGCTACACTCTTTGACCCTATATGAATACAATTAATGAATTCGATCTTCAATTTAAAATATTTACACTAGTGGATACTACAAAATCTTATGTTATACTTAATGAAAGTATAAATAAACTCTAAGTGTTAGTGAATCTATAGTTTTGATGAGATACGCATTCTACGAATTTAATTTCAACGATCCAACCGTCAAACTTGTTTGTATATGCTTCAAGATCGCATATGCCAAAAATCACATAAAACAAACATTCAAAGATCAAGTAACGGGACAAAACTTTTCGATGGTTATCAATGAAAAATCATGATTTAACGGTTATTTTAACTCCGATTTTGATGATTTTTTATAGCTACTCTCCTTTACCCTATATGAATACAGTGATTTCATTCGATCTTCAATTTAAAATATTTACACCAGTGTTATACTTAATGAAAGTATAAATAAACTCTGTGTTAGTGAATCTATCATTTTGATAGGATATGCATTCTACGAATCTAATTTCAACGATCCAACCGTCAAACTTGTTTGTATATGCTTCAAGATCGCATATGCCAAAAATCACATAAAACAAACATTCAAAGATCAAGTAACGGGACAAAACTTTTTGACGGTTATCAACAAAAAATCATGATTTAACGGCTATTTTAACTCCGATTTTGATGATTTTTTATAACTACACTCTTTGACCTTATATGAATACAATGAATGAACTCGATGTTCAATTTAATATATTTACACTAGTGGATACCACAAAATCTTATGTTATACTCAATGAAAGTATGAATAAAAACTCTTTAAGTGTTAGTGAATTTATTGTTTTGATGGGATACGAATTCTACGAAACTAATTTCAACGATCCAACCGTCAACCATGTTTGTATATACTTCGAGATCGCATACGCCAAAAATTGCAAAAAACAAACATTCAGAGATTAAGTAACATGACAAAACTTTTCGACAGTTATCAATGAAAAATCACGATTTAAGGGTTATTTTAACTTCGATTTTGATGATTTTTTACAACTACACTTCTTGACCCTATATGAATACAATGAATGAATTCGATGTTCAATTTAAAATATTTACACTAGTGGGATACCACAAAATCTTATGTTATACTTAATGAAAGTATGAATAAACTCTTAAGTGTTAGTGAATCTATTGTTTTGATGGGATACGCATGGTTTGTATATATTTCGAGATCGCATACGCCAAAAATTGCAAAAAACAAACATTCAGAGATTAAGTAACGGAATAAAACTTTTCGACGGTTATCAACGAAAAATCACGATTTAACGGTTATTTTAACTCAGATTTTGATGATTTTTTTACAGCTACACTCCTTAATCCTATATGAATACAATGAATGAATTCGATCTTCAATTTAAAATATTTACACTAGTGGATACCACAAAATCTTATGTTATACTTAATGAAAATATAAATAAACTTTAAGTGTTAGTGAATCTATCGTTTTGATGGGATACGCATTCTACGAAACTAATTTCAACGATCCAACCATCAAACTCGTTTGTATATGCTTCAAGATCGCATATGCCAAAAATCACAAAAAACAAACATTCAAAGATCAAGTAACGGGACAAAACTTTTCGACGGTTATCAACGAAAAATCACGATTTAACATTTATTTTAACTCTGATTTTGATGATTTTTTACAGCTACACTCCTTGACCCTATATGAATACAATGAATGAATTCGATGTTCAATTTAAAATATTTACACTAGTGGATACCACAAAATCTTATATCATGCAAGCATTGAGTTCCATTGACAATGTTTAAACTTTTAAGAAATGCTTCACAACCTTGAAATTAAAAACTCTTTCATTTTGCATATCCTTGCACATTTAATATTTTGTAATAGACTAGTAGTGTATGGATGTTTGTTTATTAGGCTGTTATTTTCGAGTGTAGATGTAGTAGTACTTAAACAACAAATGTGTTTTAATGTTTTGAATTAATATTTATGTGGCAATGTGTGGCATGTGCAAATTTAAGAATTTTTTTTTTCTTAACGGGTGTGATCCTGTTAAGGACCCGTTAAGATAACATGTGTGATACGACACGACCCGTTAAGATAACAAGTGTTACACGAAAACGACACAAATACGACAGACATGACCAGTTTGTCAGGCCTAGTAGAAGGAGATAAACAACTACCTCCACTACGGGAGAAGGAGCGAGGGACAAGGTAGTGGTACTTGCTTCTCAAGCATTAAAGCTTTATAAAAGGGGAAAGGAGTCAAAGAACAAGGTATGCAAATGAAACCCTTTGACTAGAGAATAACAATTCATCTGACTAACTTGAGTGTCAGAGTACTATTTGCAGGTACAACAACCCCCTCCCCTCTCTTTTAAATGAAGAAGCTTTGGGACGCTTCTCGATTAGGGATTCACCAAATGTGCGGATTACAGACAACAAATTTGTGGAGATATTTCTTCGTGTAAGAAATTTCGTTCTAACAATATCCCAAACAAAACTAGGAACCTTTACAATTAAAGGCCTACATGTATAAATTAAAAACAACAAAAAAGTACACCAATACCTTATTCCTTATATCCAATTGATTTCTAACCCTAACGAATCCGTTATTTGATATAATATTAACCTTCCCTGCTTCCACAGGTAGTCCTGTACTTCCACCAGGGTAACTGCAACCATTATAACCTGCAATCAATTGATAAATCTAATTAGAAAGTGTTCCAAAACAAATCAAGCAGACATGTAATGCTGGTTTATTATATGTTCCAGTTTTACACCGGTCTAAACTGAGCGAAAAGAAAAATGCCACAGATTTTTAGTGCAATCATTCACAAAAGGTGTATTATTAACTATGGAAAGTACCCTTTTGTGTAATGTGCGTCCTCATCATGGTAAACCTGGGCCATTTCGATATGTGCTCGTGTTAAAGAAAACTTATTGGGATTTGAGGATGTGAGCGTTGCTGTTTGTGAGAAATTACAATTCAAAGGAACTGTGACAACAATATGATAATATAGATTCATGGCATAGGCAGCGTGCGATGCAACAGTGTTTGGATCAAAACAGGCGCCTCCTGGTTGGATTGCGCTGCAATCAATACCATGGCCGCAAGCATAGTCAAGATTTGCCTGCAATTGAGCAATAAAAACGTCGGATTTGGGCACACACCACTGTGCTGAAGTAGGCTTGGGTGATGGAGACACTGTTGGTGTTGATGGAGTCTGAAGGGTAGAAATTCAAGGGTTATAATTAATCATGCCGATGGTAAAGAATAAAATAATAGGCGTTATAAGGTTTGGCCAGATAAAGGACATGTTATGTTCTCATACGTATTGAACCATCCATATAACGAATTATCTAGATTCGCAGTCAACAATATAACATGTCAAAATGGTGCGGTATGAGAACATTTCGCTGGAAGGTTTTTAAATGCGTCATCTGGCTACTCTTTGTGAGACCAACGTCATATGTCGCAGTTAGATCAGGCTTGAACAGACCGAAGTATCGCTCAGAGGCTGGACCAGGTTTCAAATCCTCATCATAGAGCGCGAAGATATACGTCTCCACAGATTGTCCAGGCATTAACGGAGTCCCAACCATGGATCTAAGATGTGCAATCAAATTTCCATTATATGCCCTTGCATTCTCCACACTAGGTCCAATTTCGTTGTCATCTCCATGGTATGGCCATCCAGTCTCAGCAATCAAAATGTCAATGTCTTTGAATCCAACTGCATTCAAGGCTGACCGCACGACATCAACCTAAAGACAGTAAAATTTGTCATTTATATTAATGCATCAATCAACGACTTCAAAAACGTAAGGGTTAAACTATTGGAACTCTCTAATTACTTAACTAGCCATTATCAAATTGTCATTGCAAGAAAAGAAAACAGTGCACATAGTTAAACAAATTATGCATTTACTGTGTTGCAGATTAACTAATGATACCAAAAGGATAAATGCTTCAAAACCCAATTTCATTTTCCAATTTTCTTTCCAATTCTTTCACATGGGTAGGACCTTATGATATCGCGAGAAATTGATAAAAGAATTAGGTCTTATAACATCATCCAACTGCAAAAGATTCGAATGTGTGCTATCTCGCGGATCTGCAAAAAAACCCAATGCTGCTAAAGTTTCACTAACATTTCCTCCTAAAGTAAGAGATAAGAGGTTTATACTTTATATGGTGGTCCCAAATTAAATTTTAGGTTCTATGAAACAACAAAATACATTGTACTAAATTCAATGACAATAGAAATCATGGTTATATGGCCTCATCTAAAATTATAGTGACGGCCACTAGCTAGCCTGTGACCTTGTCACCATGCATCAAATTGCATATAGAAGGTCACATCAGGTAAGTTTCAGTGTTCCCATCATTTCATTGATAATGCAAAGGGCAATAATTCATACAAGAATAATATGTATGGCACTAATTAAATGACCGTTGAAATTAGGGTTTCCCAAAACCAACTTTTCGGGCTCGTTTGAAAGTAAAAATAACTGAAAGAGCTTATGGTGAAATCGATTTTAGGTTTCAAAAGCACTTCAAGTGCTTTTTGAAAGAAGCACAAGATATTTACTTCTTACAAAAAGCACTTGAGGATCCACTTGGATTTTTACTGATGATTGGTTTTAAAAGAATCTTCATCAAAAGTGCCTTCAGTTATTTTAAAATTTCCAAACAAGCCCTTCATTGATAGAAACAGCTAAAGTTTACTATCTTGCTATCTATTAAGCTATGTATTCAAATAAAAGACCTAATGGTTAAAGATATAGTAATATTTTCTTTCATCTTCCTTTTCAACTAATCCTCACACCCTAATTTTCTCTAATCTAGCGTAACTCTAAACACATGCAGGGTGCATATTTGCCTTCAAGTAACTACAAAAGCAAGGAGATAGAGAATGCAATTAAGGATTTGGTTGGAAGTGCAATTAAAATGGCCACAATCGGCCCCTGTAGTTCTAGATAATAAAAGCACTTTTCTAAAACTTTCTATTGATTTAGCTTCTAACAAAAGTGCTTATGTGTTTGTTTTACCAAAAAAATCCATTAGATCTAAACTCTTGTGTCAATGTTGTGGACTCATGGATTAAAGATCAACGTATGAGTTGTCGTATGATGCAACGACCAATCGTATAGGATCGCACTGACGGTTGACCTAGAAGTCAATTTTCAACTGGGCCTAGACCCGTTTTAATAAAAAAGCCTAAACCCGGTCCACTAAAGTGTTAAACTCGCTCACCTAAGCATCGAACAAGTTCATGTACTTGATCCCATTCCCCGAGTTGACTCTTCCCGCGTTAGGCTGGAACAAGCAAAACGCCAGTGTTTCGGGCCTCGGGTCGCTCTGGTACGCGAAAAACGGGTACGGGTTAACCGTAAACGACGATCCATTGTCCCTTTAGAAGGAGAGAAGTCCTTTGAGGATGTCCTGGAATCCCAGGTTGAACAGACCCACAGAAGGCGGGTCGGACTGGACCAAAACGGCCATGGAGTGCACCGTGGAGACCCGGACCTTGCCATCGAGAGACGCAGCGGTGAGGGCAGATTGGACATTTCGCATGGCAAGGAGGAGCTGGGAGATGAGGCCCTGGTCGTTGGATAGGAGGACCTCATTGCCGACATTGATGAGGTCGATTTTACTGGCGGGGTAGAAGGGGAGGACGTTGGAGTTCACCCACTGCCCCGTTGCGTTGGGATCGGAGGTGAGGGCCGGGATGTCACCGTTGGCGGCGTCGATGACGATGGTGATGCAGGAGCCAGCGAGGGCCTTGATGATGGCCGGGTCGACGCTGTAGAGATGGACGCGCTTGATGGAGGTGGACTGGAGGAGCTTTGCGGTGTTGGAGGGCGGCGAGAGGTTGTTGGCGACCTGGTAGTTGACGCCGATAAAGGATTGTGAGTCTGCAATGAAAATGACTGTTTAAGTGGGGATATTGACGACATAGAAGGGGAGTTAAGTAACTGAAACTTTGGTGGAATAGATCAATCAGCAGTGCTATTATTTAAAATACGATTTTCTTTTTTCCTTTTTTTTTAAGTGCAACTACTTCTGTTTATTTTCCGAGAAAGTTTTGGGATTGAAGGGGAGTGAGTGATAACGTACCTGCAGAACGAAAAATAGTGAATAAGATGGAGAGGAGGAGGATGGGGAAGTGTGAAAGCGACGATGCCATTGATGATGATGGTGATGGTGTGTTGTGTCGATAAAATCGATACTATTAAGAAGCTCTCTGCTGCTTTGTGCAGGGTGCGGAAGATGATGCAAGAATATACACGGAATGAAGCATCAGACTTCAGACCCAAAAAAAAAACAAGATGAATTGGGAGATTGTCGATCGAAATGCTTTCGTGGGATGGGACCCACCTGTCCCTCTCATTGACCAGAAATTTTTACTAGGCATAATACTTGGGTACTCACAGGGATAGAAGCGTATCCAAATCATGATCAAATGACATGAATCAATAAAAATTTAACACATATAATTTTTTCTTTCAAAAAAAAACTAGACCCGTTCATGCTTAGAAGCCCAAAGATTAACGGCGTCTTCTCCCAATAATGTAGGACTCCAATCGTCCTTCTCCCTCTCCCTCTCTCTCTCTCTCAGACCAACATCCACCCAGAGTGGTGATGGCGAACTTGTAAGAATCCTTATTGAACTTAACTAGTTGTGATAAAGATGAGTTAACATGTTTTAATTATAAATCAGTATGAGTTTTGTATACATGTAAAACCATTCCTTATAATTGAGGAGTTACATCCATAGTGTTTCAAACTAAAACATGTACTTGATCCCACTCATCCATAACTCATCCATGATTGGAACTGAAAGCAATTGGGTCTGTAACCAACTCCCATGATAGATGGAAGTTGTGTAAACCTTGCTTTATATATTGGATTCCCTGCTCATAGAGAAAAACACTCTTCGTTTTTTAGACTATCACCATAAGAGTATATTGGTCTCCCAGTAAGTAGAAGAATCTTCTTGAATCAATACCATGTTTACTGCAGGTTAGAAATTGAGATGTAATTGTCAAAATGGTGTTCTAGGATTTCCTGTTAGTCTAAAGTATATATGTTAATACATTCCAACATTTGGTATCAGTGCCATCTAACAGGCCCTAAATCCTATATGATTTCACTGCAGTAAATTGTTATGTTTGGCTTGTTTTATTTAATAGCCATTTTTGAGTTTCTTTTACTTTAAAACCTAATGAAGGTACTGTGATGTTAAAACTACTGCAATGTCCATATTCTTTCTCAAAAGAAAGAATGTATGAGCAGGCAAAAGTTCTAAATCGCAAATAAAGTGTCTTTGCTCAGTCACCATTCTTGTCCAAAGACTTGAATTAGATGCATGAAAATATTTCTTTCGCAATGGCAATTTATACCTCTTGCTCAAGGGTGTGGTATAAACATGCATTGGTCATTTACTAATAATTATTAATGTCTACTGCAGTGAATACACCTGCTATGAGTTTGTCCTCCATTGAACCACTAAATGAAGGCAATTACAAAAAATGGAAGTAAGACATCGAGATAGTTCTGAGCTTAATGGACCTTGATTTGGCACTAAGGGATGATGAACCTGCACCTTTCACTGATACTTCCACCGCTGCACAAAGACTAAAGCATGAGAAGTAAGAGAAAGCCAATAGGATGTCACTTATGGTCATGAAGAGGACCATGAGTGAGATTGTGAGAGGAGGCATCACTGCTTGTGAGAAAGCAAAGGACTTCATGGAAGTTGTTAGGGCAAAGTTTAGGGAGTCAAAAAAGGCTGAGATAGGGAACTTAATGACCACACTTACATATCTCTAGTTTAATGGAGACAAGAGTGTCAAGGAGCACATTTTCAAACTAGTTAAGGCTGCTACAAAACTCAAGGACTTGGAGGTGCCTATGGATGATGCTTTTGTGGTGCATATGACACTCACTTCACTACCATCTAACTTTGATCAACTGAAGATCTCCTATACTACATAAAAGGAGAAATGGACATTGGATGAACTCATATCCATTTGTGCTCAGCAGGAAGAAATGATGAAGATGTATGAGACTATCAACCATATCAACTTTGTTCAAAGTGGCAAGGTTAAGGAACATGCGTACCAATCTGGTAAGACCTCTAAGCAGTTGTCCTCTTATGGTAATGTTATAATTGCCTCCTCCTCTAGGGGACCTGATATACTTAGGGATAATTTGGACAATGTCAAATGTATTTTTGCAAAAGATATGGGCATTTGAAGAGGGATTGTGATAAACACAAGAATTGGAAAATTAAGAAAGGTATTTCTTTTGTAGAATTCTTTGTTTGCTTTGAAACTAATCTTGTTGAAGTCCCTCCAAATTCTTGGTGGTTTGACACTGGGTGTTCAGTGCATATCACCAATTCCTTGCAGGGATTCGCAAGAGGAGTCACAACAACAAAAAAAGAGGTCCTTCAAGTCTATGTGAGCAATGGAAATAAAGTGGCAGTGGAAGCGGAAGCTATAGGCACTCTATGTACCTTCGTTAAGAAGGAATTTAATTTCCGCATCTAAACTTGTAAAATCTAGTTATGCTTTCATTAGTGACGATGAAAGCATTAGAATTTTCTTGAAAAATAATCTAAACAATGTTCTTGGAATTTGTTTCTTAATGAATGATTTATGGCAGTTGTTGTGCTTAGTTTTATTAAATTCAAATTGTTTGGTTGTTGAGTCAAGTTTATCATGCAAGAGATTGCTCACAAATGAATCTTCGTCCATGTTATGGCACAAAAGGTTAGCTCACATATCTAAGGCAAGAATTTAAAGACTAATAAAAGAAGGAATTTTGCCGACCTTGGATTTCAATGATTTAAAAGATTGTATTGACCATTGCAAGGGAAAATTAACAAAAATAAAGAAGAAGAGTTCAATTAGGAGTAAAAAAACTTTTGGAGTTGATACACACGGATGTGTGGATCTTTTCCAATTAAGACTCTTTGTGGAAATATGTATTTTGTCTCTTTTATTGATGATTTCTCAAGGTTCACTTATCTCGTTTTACTTAAGGATAAATCTTGAGTGTTTGATTGTTTTAAAATCTTTAAAAATGAGGTAGAGAACCAATTGGATATGTCCATTAAAGCTTTAGTTCGATAGGGGATGAGAATATTATGGCAGGTGCAATGAGATTGGTCAGGCAAAAGGACTTCTGGCGCTTTATCTAGAGCAATGTGGGATCCAAGCACAGTACACATCACCAGGCACACCACAATAAAATGGTGTGGCTGAAAGAAGAAATAGAACTTTGATAGAGATGGTGAGAAGCATGATGTGTCGTACTAATTTACCACAAAATCTTTGGGGAGAAGCCTTACAAATGGCTAATTACATACTGAATAGGGTTCCCATGAAGTTAGTTTGTAAAACTCCCTATGAGATTTGAATTGGACGAAAACCAAGCTTGAATCACTTATGAGTTTGTGGATGTCGAGCAAAAGTGAGGGTATATAACCTTAAGGAGAAGAAACTTGATTCAAGAACCATATCATGCCATTTTGTGGGGTTTCCAGCAAGAATAAAGGGATATAGGTTCTACTCTTCAGACTTTCCCATGAAGATCTTTGAAACTGGGGTTGCAAAATTTATTAAAGAAGGTGAAGCAACATATGATTCTTAGTTGGAGTCTTCGAGCTTTGAATTTGTTGAAACTAGGGGTATTTTACCTGACAATACTCTTGGTGATTTTCAAGGAAGTGAAAGAATTAAGATTACTGGCAATGGTCAGGGAGTTATCAATGAAGTTCAACAACAAATTGAATTTCACTTTGATAGCTTTAATCAGTCTCTTGGGAGCATTAATGATGATCCGCAGACCGGAACATCATCGCATGCATGTAATGAGTTGCTTCAGCAACAAGTTACGATAGAGAGGGAAATGCAACCAGATATTGGGACTTCGTCAAGGATTTCTGATGAGTTGCTTGAACAACAAATCACAATTAAGAGAAAAGTGCAACTATAGAGAACTAGAAAGTCAGCCATCCCTAGCAATTATTTTGTATATCTTTAGGAGATTGAAGCAAATGAAGGGATTCAAGAAGATCCAACCTCGTTCGATGAAGTAATGGAATATGAAGAGTCTAATTATTTGAAAGAAGCCATGCTCGACGAGTTAAATTCCATGAAAATGAACAGTGTGTAGACTTTGGTTGAGGCACCGAAAAATGTGAAAGCGATTGGTTGCAAGTGGGTCTTCAAAGCAAAAAGAGACTCAAGTGGAAAATTTGAGATATAAGGCGAGCCTCATGGAAAAATGCTTCACTCAAACTGAAGGCATAGATTATATTGAGACGTTCTCCCCAGTCTCGACAAAAGATAGTCTTAGAGTGATTATTTCACTGATTGCACACTTTAATCTTGAACTCCATCAAATGGATGTCAAAACAGGTTTTGCTTAATTGAGAGTTGGATGAAGACATATATGTGCAACAACCCTTGAGTTTTGAAAGGGAATGAGAGGAAAATATGGTTTGCAAATTAAATAAGTCCATATATGGTTTGAAGTAAGCATCAAGACAATGGTTCATGAAGTTTGAACAAAAGGTGACTGCCTTGGGTTTCACTGAGAATAAAATTGATGATTGCATATATCTTAAGGTATGTGGTTCTAGATTTGTCTTTCTTATCTTATATGTGGATGACATACTCTTTGCTAGCAATTGTATGAATATGTTGCTGGAAACAAGAGAATTATTGTCAAAAACCTTCAAAATGAAGGACATGGGTGATGCTTCTTTTGTCTTGGGTATTGAAATTCTGAGAGATAGATCAAGGGGAATGTTGGGACTCTCTCAAATGGCTTATATAGAGAGAGTGCTGCAGTGTTTCAAATAACAATGTTCCCATGGAGAAGTGCCAATGGGGAAAGGTGACCGACTCAATAAATCTTAGTGCCCGAGAAACGAATTTGAAAAAAAAAAGGACGTCTACTAAACCTTATGCCTCTTTAGTAGGTAACTTCATGTACGCACAAGTTTGCACAAGACCTAATTTAGCCTATGCAATAAGTGTGCATGGTAGATGATAGGAGCATATTTATGCGACTTAGTTAGCTTGTTCTTGTGCATTTGTGTTGTTATTTCTTAGTTAATTATGTATTTTAAGCTATTTTCGTGTGTTTGTAGGTCATAATAACAAAGTTGGCAAGAAAGTGCATTTTGGAGCATTTTAGAGCATTTTTTAGCCAAGATTGGATAATGCAAGCATGGAGACATGAGGATGGACGTTTTTGAAGATTTGAAGGCTAGAAATCAGCATGTGTGTGTGCAAGTGTGTTGACCTACAACTCTAAACATCCATCCACTACACTCATTACATCCACTCATTACCAAACACTCATCCACTACACCCATTACATCAACTCATTACCAAACATCCACCCACTACACCCATTACATCCACTCATTACCAAACACTCATCCACTACACCCATTACATGCACTCATTACCAAACACTCATCCACTACACCCATTACATCCACTCATTACCAAACATCCACCCACTACACCCATTACATCTACTCATTACCACAACACTCACCCACTACACCCACTACATCCACTCATTACCACAACACTCACCCACTACACCCATTACATCCACTCATTACAACTCCATACACTCCTCTCCCTAGCCTATAAATACATCCACCCTTCACCATAATTTGGGGGCCATCATCCAAAGACACTACATTTCACATCTCACAACTTCATTCACAAACACAATTTCCTTGCCGTGACCTCCATCCATTCATCTAGCCATACTACATCTCACCAATCCATACACCTTCATCTCTTAGCCGTGCAAATCCATTCCATCCATATATCCATACACATCCTAGACACTTGTGCTACAACAAGGTGGTGAAAACAAAGGTCTTTGACGTTTCAAGCTTGGAACTTTGGAGCGTTTTAGGTGTACTCCGTTCTTGCTTTCAATGTCTACTTTGTTATTTTCTAATTTTGTTGCAATTATGAGTGGCTAAACCCCTATTTGGTTAGGGGGAAGTTTGAAGCCATGAACATGCTTGAGATTTGAATTAATTTCTTCCAATTGTGATTTGATAAGTTGTGATTGCAATTCAATTATCTATTTTATTCATAACTGATTTTTGTATGTTTATTAAGGATGCATACTTAGTTTTCATGCATGAATTAGATGTTAGAATATAAACGAGTTTCACCTAATCGTTACAAGTTTATATTCATGAGTAGTGAAGGTTGTCTATCACAATCGCATTAATTGAATTCTTGGCAATTGTATCATGCATTCATAGTTATAATTGCCTTGTCAACACTTATGATTTTCATTGAACATAATGATCTCTGATTGTATCTCTATTATGCATTCATATAGGGGACTTTTAGAGAATGATTTGGGTTGTCGCATGCATTCATCCAATTTAATGAGTAAAGGAAAATCTGAGGGTTAATTTGTGCATTACGGTTAATCTGGGGTGTTGAGTATCATAGTTTATTGAAAAGCAATTGGAAATCGATTCATGTACAAGTGTGTCATGTGTGAAGAACGGACCTCTAACTAATCCATCCATCATTTTATTTCTCAAATTCATTTTATAATCTACCTAGTTTTATAACTTGCTTGTTTATTTCAAATTCATCCAAATCAAAACCCCCATTTTACTTTCTTGTTCCAAAGTGTTTAAAATCTGTTTTGTTTG